TATATATATATATATATATATATATAGAGGTAAGATTCAACATAAGTAGAACATCGAAATTTGTAGCAAATACAGACTGAGTTAACTGAGAGTTCATGGTTAATGTAGCGAAAAGTGCAGATAAATTTACTACATAGCTAAAATAGTAAAATGATTGACACAATGCGAAATTGCCGTTATTATGTTCACCTGAAACGGTGTCTGCTGTTTTCTGCAATCTAAACACATTTAGAGTGGGCGTATTCTCGGCAGATTTGCTCTCGAAGCAATACTGTTTATTTTCCTTCAGATCAACATTGCGTGCATGACGTAAGTTGTTACTCTAGAGAAGTACGTCTATCGATTTAATATACACGAGCTAGTGGCCTGACATTGGTTGCAGATCGACCGGGGTAAGCGCAGTCGACAAGTAATATTTTAGTAACCAATTCTTTTCGGACTATACGTACGTAATGACATTCATTCGGAACTTTGAGAAGTTTATTGAGGACAGGATTGAATCTGCGGCCGTTGTAGACTGCGACAACTCCGACGGTCCCAGTGAGGGGTGTGACGTGACAGACCACCAGATAACAATGTTAGTTATAGACTGGAGTGTGTATATAAAACAGTCCTGCTGTTCCGAGCACTGTACGCATCAAAGTTTATGATGGTGTCTACCGTGACGACATTGATGGTACGCCGAGACAATGGGAAGGAAGTAGAGACGAAGAAAACGGTTGAGTGTGTGGCTATCGAAAGGGCGACATTGACAATACTGGGGAAGCAGAAGTTTGAAGACTTGGGAGCGAAAGCACCGTATGTAACTTTTAAATATTGGTGTGAATGACGATGAAGCTTGTATCGGAGTCAAAATAAAAATTGTATAGATGATTGCAAACGCCAAGAAGGCAACGACAAACGTGAAGACGATTGCAACCAGTGCGAGAGGCCAACAAAAAGTAATAAAAATAAATAAAGTTGCAATAGCTAACAACTTCAGTATAATTAAAACATAAAAGGGTTCGTGCGTCCCTATTCCAAAAGCCGTATAAGGGATGAATTGGTTATATAGCTCTTTTTATGCTATCATGCACAATAGCACCTACACTAATAAAGTTAATCAATGAGTCACATAACGACTGATAAGGCCATAAATACTGTAACGTACCTGTGTCTTACATTACAAAAGTATAATTTATCCACGACAATTACTATAACAAACCAAATATCTGAGACATAACTACAGCTCTTTTTTAAAGCTATGACCTCAGTGTATATCCCCATCGATCCAATTACCCCTGGGCAGCTTCGTGCGAATCGAACCGAGTCCATAGCGACATGAGTAGTGTCTAGATGACTCCATACCTAACAAATAACTGCGAAAATGATCCAAATAGTTCATCCCATTGTACTCCCTTAACATGGGACGAGAACCAAACATATGATTCTAATGTAGCTACCTACACACAATTTGTACGTAGAACATGAATAATGACTATTGTCAGTTGCCACAAGTGTCGTTGTGCTCAAGAGAAGTCAAGGCAATAGATCACATCAACTGGGAAAGCGGAAAATTCGACCGACAACACTACGATGAAGTCTGCGTATTCAATCGATCGCAACGAGATCGAAGATATTAAAGTATGTCACAGAGAAACAACTGCCCGAGTACATGACAACAAAGCATATTGTAATACTGTTCTGACTGTGTGTTCGTGTGACACAAAAAATATATTATCTTCGGTCTGTACAAGACCATCTCCTGACAATCTATCGCTAAAAATGACTACAGAAAGTAACACTAGGTCAGTAGCCAAGCAATGTCGGTACCAGTATGTAGCAATCCGTGTATCCGTGGGAATCCCCACACAACATGAGCACCCACAAGACCAATAGCAAGCAGGATAACGCCCCTCTCATTCACGGAAGAGTCACACCTGGTAGTCTCCTGACACCCGTAGAAAACGGGCTGTCTCCACCGCAGAGGCATTCTCCACCGAATCCGCAAGAAAGACGTCCAAGTAAGTGCGATACAAACGTAATTACTTGACTTTAACGTCGAAAACTTGCTTAACAGGGGTATCCTGCTATGTCGATACAGCTGGTACAAACCATGGTGATCACAACTTATGGTGCGCAATATCTCGTCAAAAACGTATCTGACAAGTACCAACAGGTATCAACGAGCTTTGTTGCCCTGCTGCTGTTGATACATACGTCGACACTCATCCATACGTATAATTACTCTGCCCCGAACTATTCCCCCTAAGTTTACATCTGAAGCAAAAAAAAAACGCAACTGTGCTACAGCTCCGGAGAGACCACACGCGGACGTGGGACGAGACAGCAAGCGAGTATGACGGACGAAGGCGAGCGGGTAGACGAGTGCCCATCCCACCCGACTTGGAATGTGCAGAGGTTCGTCTGTAAGAAGAGGGCACAAGAGTGGAAGCCAAGCAGCCGATGGCCAATAAAGATAGACCAATGTACACTTTTTCTGATCAGATTTGACCTCCTTTAGTACCGCCTCCGCCCAAGACACGGTGAAGTCCAGCCTTTGCCCCTTTACCCGCAAGCTTGGGCCCACAGGCATACACAGGCGAGACAAAATGTATTATCTATACCCCCGTAACATGTATCAGTTCAATGTCGAAGTTCCGAAGGACATCATAGTATCGTCACATACGTCGACCTCGGACATCATCCGGAAAGGTCGCGCGTGACTTACTCGAGTACAAGCGGGCAGGGAGAATTACCCGGTGAAGGACTCTATTCTTCAAAATCTCATAGACTAGAGCCAAAGCTTTCTTGTCGGTGATGTGATATGCTAGCTGGGCACTGTCATACCCCGAAGCGAAGAAGCAGAGGGTTAGTAGGACACCTGTTCTGATGACAGGCATAACTCCGTACACACCCGCAGATTCACAAGCATCTGGCCGCGGCTCTGCCAGTACCGCACGGCTAACTCATTGAGTGCCCCGAAAGCTTTTGTAGCGCCTTGTTCTGTAACAGGGCAGAGAGCGGGCCAGTATGCGCGCAAAATTTGCGACATACCTTAACCACCATCCAACAGTGCGGTATCACTATTTAACAAGTCCTTAGACGTTGGTTCACTAAGAGTAAGTGACGTCTCTGAACGTCCCATGTCAATCTTTGACCCTCTGTAGTCTACAAATCTGCCTAAAATGACCATTTTTTTCATGTACTGAGCCACACTGTACGTGTAAAACCTTAGCTGTAAATCATGATGGACACAGCAAGACACCAGTGCCAGCAGACAGAACGAGTGTTAACGCGCGTCATCCTGGGCGAACGATATGTCATCTATGTAACAAACCACTCTTGTAGTCCCGCAAACACATTTCCCCAGCATCTGTTGGCAACACCAAGACGCCTCCTTAAGACCTAAAGGCAATCCTACAAACGCGAACCGACCTTCAGGTGTGACGAAGGACAAATACTTTCTTGAATCTACTGTGCTACCCACCGTCTGCATTTCAACGCTCTCGCTACGTAGGTTTGTAGTATGACTCCGCTCGCAATCGAGTATTTACATGTTTGAGGTTAATGCAGCAGCGCCAACCATCTACAGTCACAGGCTTGCCACTTGGTTTCTCGTACACTAGATGCGGTGCTGAACACAACTCTGAACACTTATCTATCCTCTCCATTACCCCTGCCGCCACCCACGCCTTTACTTTTGGCTTAAGTGGTTTAACTTTACAGTGCCCTTATCGAAGTAACTCGCATACCGCGGTATGGCTTCAGATTTCTGAAGATTCACGTCAGGTAAGATAAGATATTGCATATACTTAGAGTCATATGCAATGGTTTCAAAGTCTGCCAAGAGTTGCTGCAGCACTTTATGGGGTACATCACAGGCCTTTACTAGCTCTATTCATTGAGTGTATAAGGACGGTCCTCACTTCTATCGCAAACTTTATATTCCTGTTCTTCAGGAAAATATTCAGCAGCACAGTATATCAGGACGTACTGATGTTGTGTTCTCTGTTAGTTTTAAACACGATACTGTAAATACAGCTAACTCACTTTATGGTACCACGCAAAACACATTATCCTTCCATATCAGATATCATTTGAAGTTCTGGTTATAATGATATCTCAGTCACCACTAAACACAGCACTCAACGCAAACCTTCTCTGACACTTGTAGTACACAAAGAATCCAGTAGACCCATATCGGCGACACCCGTAGACGCTTTTCTTGTGCATGATGTCCATTTAGTTAAATCTAAACCCACCTTGATTCAGCCCATGACCTGATACACGCCAGCAAGTCACTGTTGTCCAGGTGTAATAAAGTTGGTTACACAACTGCTA